GCCCTTCGGTCACGTCATAAGCACATTGTCCTAGTGAATAATCAGTTATCATCAATAACATGATCAATAACAAGTACACATCACGCCATGTCTAAAGTGCTATTTCCTATATTTTTATGTCACGCAGCCGTATTTAATATATATTAGCCTATCATATGTATTATTTACCATATAAGACGTTATGTGCTGTACAGTACCCAGCTTTAAATTTCATACTAACAGGTTTATTACAGGGACATACCGATCAACCTCTAAATAAGTACAAATGTAAAAGTATGAGTCATGATAGTTATAATTGTAAAAAGGACCAACTATCATGATTTATAATAATGTTGTGTATTAATTAAAAATAAATCCTCTTTAGTCTTATTGGTCAATTATCGCGTATTCTAAAATTCTGATTCATAGTTATTGGTTCTATAATCGTATTCAATCTAGCAACCAATAATTGCATTCAGTATTTCAAGTCTAAATAAATTAAACATGAATGCTTTAATTTCAGCCTTTTAGCTATAACATTTTTTTTAATCTTTTTGTAAAATAAATATAGTAATTTCACATATGTCAAATGCTTATTACGTCAAATATAAATATAGCCAAAAAAAGAAATTCGCGTTATTAGAAATAGCTTTAAAGATATTGAATGACCTTGATTTTTCAGGATATTGCTCGATTAATATCCTGGTAGATAATTTTGTATGTAAGGAATTTGAGATAAGCTTCTGAGTATCCTAATGTGTAATTTTAGACCAATATGAATGAATGAAATATTTAGCCAAGATTAGACATAAAGCGAGCTAAATCGAAGATGTTTACATAATGATGATTATCAGCTTCAATAATTCTAATAACGCGTTCTATTTACTTAAAGTTTCATTGTACAATAGTCTAAATATTCTAATTAAAATAATTTAATTAATACGCAATTATTAAATGAGATGATAACTCAAATGTGAATTAAATATATAATAAATCTTTAGAGATTTAGAAAATTTCTTGTATTGAAATTTTCCTCTATACATTTAATATGAAGAATATGACGAAAGGAAGCCAATTCAGTAAAAATTCGTGTAATGCGTTTAATAAAGATGTAAAACTCCGTTATCCTGATAACAAACAATACACTCCTGATTCATTTAAAATTAAGAATGAGAATAATAAAGAATTAAGGCAATTTAAAAAACGCTATAGTTCTAACAATAATTATACGCCTACCTTAATGCGTGAACTTGAAATACTTAAGAATACTCATAATCGTAAATTACAAGATTTTAGTAATGAACTTGAAAATCAGCGTGATTTAAAACATATTAAACGCTCAAAAACAATACCTTATTATTCCGAACAACAAAAGCCTCAAGATTACGGATGTTATTCTATGCAATACTCTAATTTGCATACCTTACCCTGCTATTATTCTGCTAATTGTGAATTCAGTATGCTTGTAGACAAACACCTTTGGTTATATCTTCCTGGTATTCATTAATTTATTAGTTATATGTGCTTATTAAATATTTTTTATTGAAATATTTATATATTTTAGAACAGTTGGCCTTTTTAGAAGAAAATAATACTAATGACATGAACTTGGAAAATCAGTATTTTTATGACATAGCAAACATTGTTGGACTACCATCAATTCACGAGGATAGTGTGATGAGCGCGCATGAGCATGTTAACTATTAATTAGGTATGCTCTAATTATTTCTTGTTATTTAATACTTATGAACAGTATGAATATTCATTACTGCCTTTATAAGCAAGCACAGATCGTGGAAACTTTTGGATTAAAAAATATTTATTAAATCGTCTTTATTATTGTGATTTTGGGCAATAATATCTTTTTTATAATAAAAAAAATAAAAATAAAGAAAAAAAAGAAAGAAAAAATATTAAAACAAAAAAAAAGAGAAAATTAAAAACTAAAAAAAAAAACGAAAATTAAAGAAATTAACTGTAAATTTAGATGAAATAGTACATATATATATTGATGCATTTCCATTAGCGCGTTATTTTCTGGCACAAATTTTAAAAATGCTATAATAATTCTTTGTGTCTACATTTCTTTAGAGAATGACTTTGTTAGTTTGTACAGTTCAAAAGTAATGAAATATAATAAAGATTGTTGTGGAGTTAATGTTCCGTCAAGCTACTACAGCTTCGATAGTGTTTGCCTGAAATCATTACTGAAAATTATTATTAAATGCATGCAAGATCTAATTTCAGGAGCTAAAATTTGGTCAGCTGCAACTTTAGGCGTCAGGAATTTCAATTCCAGGCGTATACATTTACTTAAATACTTTGTCAAAAAAATTAAATCATTGGCCTATTATCATAAATTTCCATAAACTGCACGAATCGGAATCAATGGTCACTTTTGGTCATAGACAAAAGTTCGTCTGATTGGCTAATAAATTCAAATTAATTTTACATTATTTATACAGTTTAAAGTACTTTTTAGAAAAAAT